TGAGTTAAATAGAAAGTGTTGATTTGTCATGGATGTATATTACAGAGTAATCGTAAGTTGGTTACTGGGTGTCTGTGGTTTAGTGTATGTAGACTAGGTAGACCTCACTTGGTACCTAGAAGACTGGATGCTTTTAAAGTAAACTGCAAGTTCTTTCCCCACTCTCAGATTACAGATGGTCGTGACGGCATGCGAATTTCCCTCATAAAGTACAGTAAACCCCAAAACTGCAAAGCAGGGTTAGAACTAGAAAGAGGATAGGATTGGCAATAAAGGCAGGCAGGGGCTGTTGTGCCATAAACATCCTCTCATTTTGCAGCTGCCTTCCACACATCAGCCAAGGTCATATAGACTCAGATTTAACTTAGCAGAGTTAGAAATCCCTATGGGTAATGGACCTCCGGAGTTGCTCACAGATGCGGAGCCACAGTGTTAGTTAGGGAACTGGGTGAGTGTCGGGTAGAAAGTGTTTAAAAGCTCACCAGTTACTGTATAAAGGCCCCTGTGTTGGTTAGTTTTTGTCAACTTTACACAGCTATATCTGGGAAGAGGGAATCTCAGTTGAGGAACTGTCTCCATCAGATTGGCCTATGGGCAAGTCTGTGGAGCATTTTTTTTTTTTTTCAATGATTGATGTGGGAGGGCCCGGCCCAGTGTGGGCAGAGCCGACCCAGGCAGGTGGTCCTAAGTTGTATAAGAAAATAGGGTGAGCAAGCCGCGGAAAGAGAGATCACCAGTAAGGAGGGTTCCATAGGTCTCTGCTTCAGTTCCTGAGTTTCCTGCCTCTACTTCCCTTCATGTTGGACTGTGACCTGGAAAGTGTAAGTGCTTTTGGTTACAATATCTTATCGAAGCAGTAGAAAACAAAGCAGGCCAGTCTCCTGCCTGGAATTCCGTAAAACACTGTAATATTTTCCCTTCTAAGGTATCCAGCTGGACGGAGAGGGTCCTCTATCACCACTTGTCTGTTTGTCCTTACCACCTATGTCAGTGTTCCTGACAGTTTCAAAATTCCCTTATGTTACTTTGAGTATCTTTGGGATGTTCTTGGATCTTACAATACTTACGGAAAAAATTACAAATGAATTGTAATATGAACTTTCTTACTGTGATTCAATGCTTGTAGCTTCGTTGGTAGTCCAATTAGGAGGAAAATGCCTTTTGAATCTGTTGTTGCTGCCTTTATAAAAACTTCAGTTTACAAGACTCCACACACCTTTGGTTTCCTCTTTTGTTAGTATTGTGCATGCCACAATTAAGGTTTAAGGTCGTTTCTTGCAGGCTTTAATCGTAGACAAGCTTAAGATGCTAAGTGTTAAGTGGAATGACTTTTTCACCCCCATCTTTGAGCTCAGACCTGGGGGAATAAATATCAGTGACCTTACATTTAGTATTGAAACATTTGAATGGCCTTAATTGTAATATTTAAAGATCAGAATAAGGACTATAGCTAAGTGTATTCAGTTAGGCATGTGTTTTGAATTTAGATTTTCCTTACAATGCTAGCACGATGCTTTTCTTGTATTTTAAATTTTCTTTGAACATGTGAAATAACGACATTATTTAGCATCAAGAATGTGCTGAAATTTACAAATCATATCACTTTAGCAGCTAGTGAGGGGCAGATATTGAATGACCTTTTGTAGCCCTTGGCTTGCTTCTTTCCCACATGGACTCTCCACAGACTAAAGTGTTCCAACAGTTCTAGGGCCCAGTCATCCTTACCTTCCAAGGCCATGCCAGGTCTCCTCCATCTTTAGACTACAGCAGGAGTTTTCTTCGTCTGCTCTAATTTTGTTCTTGTTCTTTAGTTTGTTTTTTTTTTTTTTGTTTGTTTGTTTGTTTTTTTCGAGACAGGGTTTCTCTGTGTAGCTTTGCGCCTTTCCTGGAACTCACTTGGTAGCCCAGGCTGGCCTCGAACTCACGGAGATCCGCCTGGCTCTGCCTCCCGAGTGCTGGGATTAAAGGCGTGCGCCACCACCGCCTGGTGTTCTTTAATTTTTATTGTGTATGTGTGTGTACACACGTGCTCATGTGTGTGTGTGGAGCGCAGAGGTTCATGTTGGGTGTCCTCCTAAGATGCCCTCCATCTTATTTTTTAAGACTAGGTCTCTTGTTTAGCCAGGAGCTTCAGGGTTGCTTCTGTCTGACACACACCAGCATTTAGTTTTACATGGGTATAATAGATTCAGATTCATATCCTTCTGCTTGTGTACCGAGCACTTTATTGACTGGATAGTCTTCTCAGCTCTTTATTGTTTTTGAGAGAGGGTCTCATTATATAGCCCAGATTGGCCTACAAACTCGTTTGTTCAGGCTCTGTCTCCAGAATTTGGGGATTGGAGGTGTATGCCACCGTATTTGTTTGACTCTAATTTGTTCATTTTTATATAGTGTATTAGAGTTCTGTAGGAACAGACAGATAGGATTTATTATTATTATTATTATTATTATTATTATTATTATTATTATTATTATATCAGCTTACATTGAAATAGTAACAGCTGCCTAAGCAGTCCCAATCAGGTGCCAAAAACCTAGCAGGTTCTGGAGACTCGCTTCTCCTGTCAGTGAAGGAATGATCCGCAGCCATGAGCAGGAAATGGGTCTGTAAGAGGGAAAGCCATGAGCAGGAAATGGGTCTGTAAGAGGGAAGGCAGCAGGGCAGCCTGCCTTCTCCATGCCCCTTTCATCTGGGCTGCTACGTGAAGGCGCTGTCACACCAGGTGGGTCTTCCCGCCTCAGTTATGGCAGTCTCAGGTGACACTCCCTCCTCAGGTGATTCTCATTTGTGGCAAGTTGACTTTTAAACTGAACATCACATTCAGCTATCTGAAAAACCTTTTAAGACTCAAATAGCATGAAGTGATTTTTCTTAGGAATAGTTTCTCAGGTACTTAAAAATGAAACAAATTTCCACCTATGACTTACAGAGCTGTGGCAGATGCTGTTTTCTTTTCCCTGAATTCATCTAGTTCTTCACCAATAGAGAACTTGCTTCTCTTGAGACAGCTGTGTACTCAGCTCTAAAAGACTTGTTTTCCAGCCCGTTTTTTGGAGGTAGGCAGATGACACATCTTTGGCTAGGAATGCATGGGTGTGTGTATCTGAAGAGGCTTACCGCTTCAACACGAAGCATCCTGTGTCCAAGCCCTTTCTCCCTTTACTGCTCTCTTGTCTGGGAGTCCTGTCTCCAGCCCGGAGGGCAGCAGCACTCTGATGACCGCAGACTGAGGAAGCAAGTGAACGCCGCCACCGCCGCCAAAGTGGAAAGACTTTCCAGGGTTTCCAATGCCCTGCTAAGTGGCCGATGTGAGCCAAGGAAATTTCTGTCCTCCTTTGGCGGTGTCACTTGGAGCTGTCTGTGTTTTTTCCTCACAAAAAGGCCATACCTATCTTCCTGACCTCATCTTCCCATGTCTGCTGTTGACATTAGCTGGCAGACAGATTGGCCACCTGATAGACCCTTCCCCAAGGTCAAGCTCCTTGCTATGACTCAAAGAATTTGAGTGGCCTGGCTTTCCTGACCTCACCGAACCATCACTCTCCTTTCCATCCTAGTCGGAACCAAACGGGGCAATTGCCCAGAGTCCTTCCTTTCCTTATGGGAGGGGCCTGTGAAGAACAGGGTTGTACTAGTGAGGAGAGGGGAGGTAGAGACAGATGGTGAAGTGGAACCTCCAGCCAGCCCTCAACTGTGTGTCCAGGAAGAGCCGCAGACTAAACCATGGCCGCTGATGGCAGTTAGCTTGCACTCCAGAACGTCACTATTTGAATCTACGTAAATTGACTTGCCCCCCCCCTTCCAACTTCAGCTTAATTCGAGGGTTTATCTAGGAGAAGTGTAATTCTGACTTTGTGATTCATGTCTATGGAGTCATATTTTTTATTTTGGGAGAGTTTCTTAGTACTTGCTCTTTTGAAAATGAGTGAATTTCTATAGATAGCATAGAAGACACATCTTTTCCCCCCTCATTTTTCATAGGATTCTCATTTATTTAATGTATGCATAAAGTGGAGGAAGATATGACTGTTTTACTACCCTTCAGTTTTATGTAAAATGCTAGTTTCTAACTTGATCAAGTAAGTACTAGTGTGGAGCTAGTGCCATGGAGCCACAAAGTGGGGTAAGTTACTAAATGCTGATCTGTGCAGTTTCCATTTTTAATCCATTTTGATGTAGCTTGTAGTTTAACAGTGCAGTACAGTTACTTTACTTTCATGTTAGGAATGGCCATCTTCCCTTTTCTCCTCCTGTGGGCCTTTGCCTAATGTCGTCGTCATCGTCATGGTCCCTGGCTTCTTTCTGTGAGGGTCCCTCCAGAGCCTTTCTCACCTGTCTATGCAGTCTTTACCCCACTTGAGGCCTAGCCGGCTCTCCTGTCCCCTTTCTAGTGAAAACTGACCCTCGGTAGAGTGTCTGGTTCTGTATCTTCAGGTGTGTCTAGCTTCCCTTCCCCGTTTGCTCGGATTCGTGATCCGTCACAGACGGTGTCACTACCACCTGTGGCACACAGTTCGGCTCCCAGTCCCGTAGTGTTCTGACCACTTGTTAGTCCTTCATTAGTCCTGCTGCAGAGTCCCTTCACCCAGCTGTCACTGTGGTTCTGTTACCTCCTCTTAGTTCTCTAGTGCTAGACGTTGTGATTTGTCTTTGATTTAAAGTATTTAAGTGTAAAATTTTTGTCAGCAGTTTTTAGGTATAAAGTACGTGGAAGCTTTCTGTATATAATTTTGTTCTGTGTCTCCGACACTGGTGGACAGGAGTCGTCTCATTCACTTGGGTTTCTGGCACAGTTGCCTGCCATAGCAAGTGACTGGGAAGTGGTTTCTGAGTGAACCGCTCACTAACCAGGCAAGAACACTCTCTAGTTCTGTTCTTGAACTGAAGGTCAGTTTGAAAAAAGCTTGTGTTTTGGTTTACCCTTTTTACTTAGGGTACAGACTCAGTATGTAGGTGTGGATGTTGTGTATAAAACATTTCTTCCTCTCTTCTCCAGGTTTTGGGAGGAAGGATGTCGTAGAACACTTGCTGCAGATGGGTGCTAATGTCCACGCTCGTGATGACGGGGGTCTCATCCCACTCCATAATGCTTGTTCTTTTGGCCACGCTGAGGTTGTGAGCCTGTTACTGTGCCAAGGAGCAGATCCGAATGCCAGAGATAATTGGAACTACACTCCTCTGCATGAAGCTGCCATTAAAGGGAAGATCGATGTCTGTATTGGTGAGTATTACTGCTGCCATCTAAGTCTGCAGTCAGCTTTAACTGAAAGCTCTCTTGGGTTTTTATAAGACTTGGGTAAAGGTGTATCTATCAAAGGGAAGTAGGGAGCTGGATCCAAAGGTGATAAGAACAAGATTCACATTAGATCTCTCAACGAGGCAACTCGGTGTGAGCTGGTTGATTGTTCTGGTCACATGTAGTTAACTTAAGTTTCTCATTGGACAGCTGCATCCAACCTTTTGTCACAGAGAGCCATGAAGTACAATAGTTGCATACTGTAGGTTGATTCAGAAGAAGCCATCAAATACTGTGACAGATGTCTTTAATTTGCTAAAATTGAACCCCGATTGGTTTACTACTACTGGAAAGCCTTGAGTATGTGTTTCCAATCCAGTAGTTCAAAGATAAACTGTACTATCATGTGTGTTGGTTAGTGATTGTTTTTTGTTTTGCTCTCGTCAACTTGACACAAGCTAGGATCATCTAGAAAGCGGGAACTTCTGTAGAGAAATGCTCTATGAGCTTGGCCCTGTAGCAAGTCTATGGGGGCATTTCCTTGATTAACAATGTGTGAGAGACCCAGCCCACTATGGGCAGTGCCATCCCTGGGCAGGGGGTCCTGGGCGGGATGAGGAAATTGGCTTGCTAGCAAGCCATGGAAAGCAAGCCAGTAAGAAGCATTCCTCCATGGTCTGTAGTTCTTCCTGCCCTGATTGCCCTTCATGATGGACTGTAAAATGAAATAAACCCTGTCCTCCCTAGGTTGGGTTTGATGTTTATTACGATAATAAAAAGCAAACTCGATCTGCAAGAAAACAATTACAGACAGAATTTAGCTTTCCAACCATTTTAAGTAACTTCTAATTGATATGAATTTGTAGTCAATTACTGTTTCTCATTATATATATTTTTACATGTTTAGATTTTGCTTTATTGCATTAACATTTTTATTTCAAAATCTAAAACAAGACTCTTAGAAGCCAAGTGTTTTGCCTCCCCAGGGCATCATCTGTTTCTTCATCCTTCAGATGACTGAGATGTGTTTAGCCCATGGCCGCCTTTGGATTCGTTCTGGATGACAGAATAGTGGTTCTGCTGTCTCTTTGTGGATGTCAGCATTTTCATACAATGTTTTCTTTGTGCTAAGGTAGATAGGCCGTTTTTAACATGTTCTGGCTAAAATTGTCCCTAAATAGTGATTACGACTGTTCCCTCATAGCCCTTTGTTCTGGTCTCCAGTATATTTTCAATTTTCCTGAAATTGTAATTTTTCTGTCAAGTTCTCTGCCATCATCTGTAGTCACTTCAGCATCTTTTGGCTTTTTATGTATTTATTTATTTATTTGGACTATCCTTTAGTGCCTTGCCATCTGTTACTTACGTTCAGGTGATTGTCTCTTTTCCTTCCAGGCCTTGTACTAACAGTCATGTCCTGTCCACTTAGTTTGCACAGTTACCTTGCCAAGCCTGAGTGCCTGAATTTAGCACTGAACATGCTCTCTGATCCTGGCGCTCTGACTTGCTCTTTTGTATGTGAGAACTGTTGCTGAGCTGGATACTTGTTGTTGCCTAATGGGGACATTCAGCGTCTCTATCAGTACTGCCCCCGACACCTCGTATCTATTAGACTTTTTTTAGTCACTTGTCACAAAATGGTATGCTCTCTTCAGTGTCTAAAATCGTCCTTTCTAGCCTCCGCTGCACTGTTTTTCTGTTTGTACCTCTCTGAAATTTTCAGTGTCAGTACATTATTTTTTTTGAAGTTAATATCCTTTCTCCCTCTTAATCTTTGTACCAAAAAATAGAGAGTGAAAATGCCTTCTTTAGTGTTGGTTCTCATGAAAAAATCTAGATGGAGGACTTATAAGACCTTAAAGAATGCGTCCCTGCAGCCACCAGTCCCTGCAGTCCTTAACAGGCTCTGTACACATTGCCTGCCCTCAGTTTAAGTTCTTGAGAAGTATAAAAGTTGAAAGGAGAGGAGCACTTTTGAAACTGTTATCAAAATATAACCAAGGGGTAGCTACTGTTAAAGTATGTAGTATAGCTGTGGGAATCAAGATGGACTAGCCTGGCATGGTGGTGCACACGCCTTTAATCCCAGCACTTGAGAGGCAGAGACTGGTGGATTTCTTAAGTTTGAAGCCAGCCTGCTCTACATAGTGAGACCTGGCCTACAAACACACAAATAGAAAAACACAACTTAAAAAGATTGACTGTAGAGAAGAGTCTATATTTAACTCTTGGGGGCCTCTTAGTGTGCCCTTGGAAACCCTCCGATAGAATATGTTACACTTCATGAATTCAAGCATAGTTAAGACATTCTGAAATATTCTTGTGTGGCACAGCTGGACACAATCATTGGAAACCTTGTTCAAAGCTGGTAGTTTTGAGGCTAGTGTATAAAGTTGACTTTAACAATGTTTTTACCTAGTTGATAGAATGCTACCCTGATGATTTAGAACTAATACGTCTCTGTATTCAAGTAGAAGAGCAAACATTTGATAGTCATAAAGGTAGAGCAGTCATATTGCGACCACCTTGGAAAGCATCAGGGCAGATGCTAAGGGCATGGGCTCTGCTTTGATCTCCTCAACTCCCTAGTTTTCCACCGTGCGACCAGCAGCTACTTACTTAATCACCATGTTTCATGATGTTCAGAAAGGAGTAGTCTACATAATTCACGTTGTTCATTACCAAATTGACAATATTAACGGTGGTACTTGGAAGGGTAGCAGGTATAGTACACATTCAGTAATAATAATGCCTTTTATTAATTACTAGTACTGCCGTTGTTAAGAGCTGAACTTTAACTTCTATGTGAGGTGCTTTCCTTTACTGATATTTGAAGAAGTCTTGTGAACACACAGTTTTTAATCTGTTTCTTTCACTGCTGTTTTTTAGCTGTCATAAAAGAAGGAAATACAGAGTATTTTTGTAAACTTCAGCTTTAAGTGCTTGTAAAATTAAATGAACTGCTTAAGGTAGAGATAATGGGGTTCACTAGAATGTTTATGACATTCTTCTACTGCATATAACAACTCAAATGTACTTTAGAAACCAGCATTTTCTCTTTAAAGCTTGTTTATTTCTTCCTATCCTCAGAATATAGTTTCCAGAAAATTAAATAAGTGTCTATTGAGCACGTGCCATGTGAATACAGAAACTGGTGGGGTCAGATATGCTTCTTTCCATTCCTGGCTAGGGTGACATCTGGTAGCTAGGTGTCCTGTTCTGTAATGGAGGAATCTTGACCATAGAGTTGTGAAGGATGATATTAAAGAATTGTTTGTAGCGATAGATTTGTGCTTCAGGTCTAGTAGAGGCCTGGGCGTGGTGTGCCTACTAAAGAACAGTTAATTTCCTCCTACTGTGTGGAGTATTGTTTTCTGAGGTTGATTCTATACCTTCCTGTCCTTTCAATTTGAGGTAAACTTTGATATTTATCACCTTTTTTATGTTTTTTTATATATGTGCCATCTAATCCTATACTCTGAGATTCTCAAGATCCCCCTCTAAAGACTTGAGTGATCTGGGGTGGGATAACTTGCTGGTTCCATAGCAAATGGTGCATTTTAAGGGCTTAGTTTATGCATTTTCATGTGTGCGTGTACGTGTGTGTGCGCGTGTGTGCGAGTGTGCGTGCGTGCGTGTGTGTGTGTGTGTGTGTGTGTGTGTGTGTCTTTCTGTCTGTCTTTGTGTCTGTGTCTGTGTGTATTTGCACACACATGTATGCTCATCATGTGTCATGGTGTGTGTGAAGACCCAACAGCCACTTGGTAGTGTTTGTTCTCTTTGCATTTACATGTATTTTGAGGATCAAACCCAGGTCACAAGGCTTACATAACAAGTGTGTGCTTACCTACTGGGCCATCTTGCCAGCCTGACATCAAAGAATTCTAAGGATGTAGGGCTGCATGGTTTTCTAACACATACAGGATTCTTACTGTTTGGATACTTCAGCATCTAGTCCAGAAGCTTTGTAAGCTAAATGAAAAATTATCGAACACTAGTGGGCTCCAGCCCCTCGATAGCCTTCTCCCAGAATTCCAGAAGAGATGCTACCAGTGGCGGATTAATTAATCTGAGGGATACTCAAATAAATTTATGTACATGAAACTCTTAGTCCATCCACTTTATTCTTCTGAGTCAGTTCTCTCTCTCCACAGCTTCTATTCTGCTCTCTTATTTAGCTCCTTTCTTGCTGATTTCTCTCTACATTTTTCTGCTGTTCCCTCTAAGTGCTGTCTTAATTCCTTCCTCTAGTTCTTTCCCGTCTTAGCTCCTCTCCCATCTCCTTTCTCATCTTGTTCTTCCTCATCTTCCATCTCATCCCTCTAGTTCTCTCTTCTAATCCTCCAATCTAGTTCTCTTCCAATCTAGTCCTCCTCAAGTCTCTGAGGTTTACAGTTATATACCCACGCAATAGCAATGCTTTGGCTAAGGCAAGGTCACTAGGCTTGAATTCCCTCAGGGTCAAAAGGAGGGGCAATAAGATCACACAAAAGAGCAGTAATTATCAGCCATCATCTGCAACCCAACAGGGAAGTGACTACCAGGGAAATGAATCAACTAGAAGCTAAATTTGGTTAATATCTAAGCAAAGGGGATTTTATGTGCTCAAACTATGTTCTTAGAAGTGGTTAGCTTGGCCGGGCGGTGGTGGTGCACGCCTTTAATCCCAGCACTCGGGAGGCAGAGCCAGGCGGATCTCTGTGAGTTCGAGGCCAGCCTGGACTACCAAGTGAGTTCCAGGCAAGGCGCAAAGCTACACAGAGAAACCCTGTCTTAGAAAAAAAAAAGTGGTTAGCTGAAGTGTTAAGAGCCTATAAGTCACTAAGTCGTGGGTGAAAATAAAACTGCCTTCTTTTTTCCTGTCCTCTTACCTGTCCAAGACATCTTGGCTACCTCCATTTTCTGGCAGGGCAGGGGAAGTATGCTTGGTCGATAGGCAACCTGTGTCATAGCTAGATGCACCTGGTACTTGTGTTAAAGGGAGA